CCTGGGCTTTTTCCTTCTCCTCTCAGGTTAGATAGCTCTTTCCTGCTTGGCTTCATTTACACTTCCTTTGTATACAGACCAGAGCCAATCACAGCTCACTGGGCTCTACACAGCAGGGCCTTCCTAGGGGTTTCTGTTGCTGCAGGGAAACACTGTGCCTGAAGCATCTCATGAAGGAGAGGGTTTATTTCAGCTTACACTTCCAGGTAACAGTGCATCACCAAGGGAAATCGGGACATCTCGGAAGACTCTGTCCCCCACTCTTGTCTCAAACAAGGGTGGGACCTGGAACCAGGAGCTGATGCAGAGGCCACAGACGGGTGCTGTCTACTGGCTTGTTCCTGGTGACATGATCAACCTGCTTTCTTATAGAACACAGGGCCACCAACCTGGGGATGGCACCAACCACAATCAATCACTAATTAAGAAAATGCCTATAGCTGGACCTTACGGAGGTATTTTTTCAATTAAGGTTCCTTCCTCTCAAGTAACTTCAGCTTGGGTCAAGCTGACATAAAACAGGGCCTAGTTTTGTATAATTCTGGCTTCTGGCTGGAGCCCAGCTATCAGCCTGCGTCTCAGATGCTCCAGAAGGAAGACACTGCTGAGGCTGGAGAGACCCTGGAGACAGATCCTCAGAGATGCTGTTTCAGCCGCAGGCAGGGTGACTCCATCTGCATTGGGGCTGTCAGACCAGATCCTGCTATGCTCCATAGTAACAGCGCTCTGTAGCTGCTCTCAGGGACTCACCTCCAGTGTCCACCAAGAGCACAAAGCCGGCCTGCCGGGTGGAAGCCACCGCCACTCTCCCATTCAAATGTCTACTTCCCAGGTTGAAACTCTCCCATGCCCACTCTTGATGCTGCCTACTCCATTATTGGAGGGAGGTCAGAGGAGAAGCCATGATAGAACTGGCCATCTCCTGGGGGGGGGGGGCAGAGTTGATCATTCTTTTGTGTTGCAGGTTCCCCAGCTAAGGAGAAGTATAGGAATAAATGGCCACAAAAGCCAGCAACTGTCAATCATGAAAGAAACGAATAGGAAAGAACCTGATAGGAGCAGGACTGAGACAAGGGTGGGGGCTGGAGTCTTCCAAGATGAGAGCAGGAGGGAGCTTGGCTCTCCAGGAAAACCAGCTGTTTCTACTGTGTGAGGAAGAGGGTGTTGGGAGCATGGGACCACGCTGAGGGCAGAAACTCCGTTCCTTGTCTGTATCTGCTCACTGTCCACACGGGCACTGGTACTCTACTCCACCTCCTGGCACCCCGGGCAGGCTTTACTGCCAATGCTTCCCCATCATTCTACAGTCTCACTCGAGTGGCCGCCATCTTAACCTTCCCTTCACTTTCCCTCTTGTCTAAAGTTACTACAGCTGTGAAAATCACCTCCCAGCACTTCGTTCTGAGACCGTGACTTCTAGCCAATCCCACCCTCCCACATAACAAGTCTTCAAGACTTTTATTTATCTTAGTAAAAACAACAGCAGAAAAGCTTAGAGTGAGCGAACCAAACAGGAAGTTGCGCAGTCCCCTCGGCCTACCAGGGCATGCACGCTTGTCCACGTCCCTGCATCTCCAAACATCTGCCAACTTACACGCAAGCAAAAATATTTTGTGTTTACTATGAACACAAAATCTGGGGATTTTTTTTTAAATTAAAAAATGAATAAATCACAGGGCAGCAGATAGACAGACCCGAGCCTTTAGGTAACGCCCACCTTCCATGACTGGTCATGCTTTCAGCTCGTCTGGTTTGTGTCTCCCCAGACCTGCTGACCCCAGAGAAACTTGGAGGGGCTTCTGGAGTGACATGCTTCCAAAGTTGGTAGTTGAGAAAGAATGGCTATTGTAACCAAGAGTCTGTGGGCCTTAGGGTTCCTCGCTGAGACCCGGCAGATGGTGGCGTGGCTCAGGGTGCCCTGAGAACCGAGGTCTCCACACCTTTCATCACTTGGTGTGCCGCTGCTCGGCAGATGTGCACAGCAGGCTGTTGGCAGGTGTTGAGGAAACCACAGCCTTAAGCAGGCAAGGAAACTTGAAACTCACTTGTGGGGCTTGGGTGGCAGGAAGGCCGGCAGACCTAAATAAGAGAAGCCTACTTAAGTAGGACCAATGGAAGAGACAGAAAAAGGCCCTAATGAAAATGAAAATATAATGGGATTATGTAACTGGGAAGAGTATTTTAAAAACTAAGAAACACATACGTTTTGGATTAAAAATCAAGCATTCCAAATGAAAAAGGGAATTACTGTCTTCCAAAACTTTATTAGTGGTCAAAAAATCAGATGGAACCTTACAAGACGCCTACTGACAGATCCTGTGTTGATAAAAGGCCAAGTCACGTAGAAATCACATCCAGAGGACCAAAGTTAAGAGAGGACACAGGACCAGCAGAAGAAAACTTGTATAATAAAATCTCAAGGCCCTGGATATGGGTAACAAAGAAAATTCCCCCAATGTGCTACAACAGCGGGGAGACAGTTTGCTGGGGCGGTGGGAGGATGGAGGCGGGAGGACACACACTGGGCACGGACCCTGGGGTCTCAGGGGAGCTGGGTCTCAGAGCTTCACAGGGAAACATGAAGTACACAGACTGTTAGATTCCCAGGATCTGGCAAATTTCCCTTCTTCTAGATTATATCTAGGTGACCGTCACAAAGTAGCAACTGCGCGGGTGCTGAGACAACTCTCTTCCTTCCACATTCTAGCTAACGCACTGCAGGTACAGATACCTAAAGGCTATAGACAGAAGATGGAGATGCATAGTGAAGGGCACCAACAGAAACCACTCACAAGAAAGCGTATCCTTGTTAGAAGTCACTGCTTTTATTTTTAAAAATGTACATGAAGGAGGGGCAGCCAGACGGAGACTGCACATAGACAGGCATGCCTCTATGAATGATTCTAGTAACATTATTTTATTTTATATTACTGGTTGAGGTCCTGAGGATCCTGAGCTGTATATCCAACCTTTCTTTGATTTCGTTCTTTAAGACAGGGTCTTACTAAGTTGGCCTCTAACTCACTCTGTAGTCTGTACAGGTCTTGAACTTTCAGTTAACTCCACCGTGGAACACAATGAGATGATCTTGCTTTGACTGCATGCTAATAATAATATAGACCTTAGCCCATTGGGACTGGGCTCCACACCTCTACATTCTGATTGGTTGTTTTCTGTTGTCATCTCCATCTCTTGCAAAGGGAAGTTTCCTCGATGATGGGGGAATGCTACACTTATCTGTGGGTATAAGAAAAACTGTCTACGGAGGGTTGTTAGGAGTTACACTGGTTTAGTCAATTAGTAGCTATAGATTCACATGACTTCACTAGCACTGCAAAGTTAGGTAAGTTTCTGGATACATCTACAAAGCACTCAGGCACCTCAGGCTCAGGGAACATTGAGGAAGAAGGCACAGAAAGGCCAAAGAGCCAGCAGATCAAGAATTTGCTATGAGATTGTGTCTCCCAGTACTGTCAGAAGCTAAACCCACAAGGTCTCACCAGCATGGCTGCCCAAAGATGAGCTGAACAAAGATGACACCAATGGCCATGCCAAAGTGGACCAACAAACGGCCACCAGGCTTCAAAATGAGGAAAGCTGCGAGGAGGAAGGGCAGTTCTCCTTAGGGAAGAGCATGCCAAATGGTTTCCGAGTGCCAAATGTTAGTCCTGAAAACACACATACAAATAACATTATACACATCAAACAGCTTATATTTAGGAACATACACACACACACACACACACACACACACACACACCATTTGTGGGGGAAAAAGGTCACAAATTTGAAGTAGAGTAGTGAAGTTGTAAAGGGAAAGAAGGAAAAGGAAAGTGTTAGGAACTAGCAGCCAGCCGACCCCTGCCCACAACGATGGGCGGGAAGCTCATGGCCTTGTCATCTCTATGTCCAGCCTTTCCTGGAGGCTCAAGCTTTACCTGGCTGCCAGAGGACTCAGTTACGCATGCGCAAGCCCCCCTTTTTAAAGCAAGCACACCAAGTGTGCCTCTCTCTCTTGCTTCCTCTCTCTGATATCCCCCCCCATCTCTCTCTCTCCTGCTTTTGGTTGGCTACCAGCTACCTCCTCTTTCTCTCCCTTCTCTCAATAAACTCCACGTGGGCGCTGAGTCTCGTGTTTGTGTTTCTTAGGCATTAGCTGCAGCAAAAGAACAACAGAAGGGAAAAATGTTGTAATTATATTATAATCTTGGGAAAAGTGTTGTAATTATATTATAATCTCAAAAATAAGAGTCCTTATCCCAAAGCCTCCTAGTGTTAAGAATGAGTAATTGCAATCATTCCCTGTGATTGTCCTGGTGAAGGGCAGAGTAAGTTGTTCTCCTTTTAACCCTTTAGTTAACAACAAGGATTTAAGGTATCTGTAGTAGTAGCATCAGACAATCCCTAACACAAAACGAGCACAGTGCTGGCTTCATAGGACAGCCTGAATGGCTGTTAAAAACAAACAAACAAGGGCTCACATCACATGTTTTCCTCTGTTACCATTAGCTGGCGCTGAAGAGCTATGATTTAATAGTTTATGTTTAAAATATCATAGAAATGATGATGGAAACAAACTCAACATGTACTTGAAAGCAATATTAAGTACAATGAGACACATGCTATCTTTAGAAGATGTTATATCATTATTAAAATTAAATTTCTCACTATTTTATTTATATAGCATTATAATATAAAAGAAGAATACATTATTTAAAACCATGTATTTGGCTCATAATTGGCCTAAATTTATCACAAATTTTCTTCAATGGTTCATAAGAATAATCCTTAATTCTACATAAGAGAAAAATAGTTTAAAATTAGTATTTTTTTTTAAAAAAGAATGAAACCAGAGTTCAATGCAAATTATCTAGTACAAAGGAAAACTAAGAGTTATAATTTCTTAAAATTTCAATCAGGCAATAAATTAAGTCTCAAATATCTTCACATACAAACTCTAACACTGGCAACCTATAAATATAAAGTATAACAATCAGCAGTCAATAAATTCGACAATTTATCTAAACATTGTTACATAGGAAATCTGAAGAAACTGTAAATAGTTCTTAATGCTTTCATTTTGGTTCTCCGACTTCTCAAGACTGTGCTGTATTTCTTTCAGACATACATCCTGATGCTGGGCTTTCTACATGAAGAGAGAAACAGACCATCAATACGGCACTCATATGCAAGATGAAGACTTATAAACATTTATGCAATAACCAAAAAGTCAATTTTCGTCAAAAAAATTCTTTTTCTTTTTGCTTTTCCTTTTGTTTTTTGAGACAGGGTTTCTCTGTGAAGCTTTGGAGCTTATCATGGCACTCAGTCTCTATAGCCCAGGCTGGCCTTGAACTCACAAAGATCCACCTGCCTCTGCCTCCCCAGTGCTGGGATTAAAGGCATGCACCACCACCGCCTTCCTTAAAACAATATCCTTAGTGAATAAAGCATAAATGTTTGATCATTCTACTTGGACAGTCTATGCTAATACATTCATTTAGCCCTAAATTATTACAAATTTAATGTGATTAAGATGATTATATTTAGAGCAGTCATTACTAGTCCCTAATACGTTTAATATGACGTTTCATATTCTTTTTATGCCATTTCTCTGTAAAAAAAAATCATGTATTATACTATAAGACCTTCACTGCTTCAATCTTTTTTCTATAAATTTTATTATAAAAACTCTGCATATAAATAAAAATAGCAAGCAACAAAATTAACCCGACACAAAGTCTATACAGCCCAAAAGTCTACAGTACCACTAGAACGTCATCAGAAAGGAGGCTGTTTTCAAAACTGACAAAACCCTAGCCTTGATAAGGTGAACATCTTCTCCTAAACTCCTTCAGAAACCGAATCCTTTTGAGGAAGAAGTTTTAAACTCACATAACTTTTGAAGTTTGGTTGTGACAGGTTTCTAGTGGGGCTGCTTACTGCAAATGCTTTAGGTAAGATGGGGTCTGGCTACAACGTGTGTTTGTCGAAGCACGAATCCCTACACCCAGCACCTGAGACTGCGCACTGCCCAGCAGAAGCAGGTAGCCTGTGGCAAAGTCAGAATGGCTAAGAGCTCGTCTTCACGGAGCTTCACAGGAGAAGGCAGTAGCCATTCACGGAGCCTCACCTGAGAAAGCAGTAGCCATACAAGCTCACACTGCAGGGCAGAATGCAAGTGACAATGGACTGCGGGACCCTGAGTAACGTCTGAAAGACACCGGGGCTCCAGTAGGATGGCCATGGTTGTGAAGCTCTAAAGCCACCCTGCAAGCTGTGCGCCCACTCCACCTCCAACCAAAGTACTTGGACCCAAACCACGAGAAGAAGGCCCTCAGGGCAGGCAATGTACTGCAGAGGGCTCCAGAGACAGTCAGCTATGGACAGGACACATTCACACACGCCTAGCTATTTCTAAACTTAGGCTTGGAATTTTAGATTGCTTACTAACTAGCTCAACAATTGAGATTTAACATCAGATCTTAACCTATTAATTTTAGTAGCTTTAGCAAAGTCCTAAACACAGCACAGAGAAACCCATCTCATCTCAGTTTTTATTTTTCCAGGGGCTTCAATTGCAAAAAGGACATCACACATATTTTACAGTATTGGAAATCCTGATGGGGAGTTCATTTGCTTGTTTGTTTTTAAGTTTAGAAACCCAGAAAACAGCTGTAATAAATTAAAAATGATGAATGTTTAACTCTGATTTTCATTAAATGTCTGAAGGCAATAAGACTAAATAATGTATGTCAAAATAGTTCAACTTTTTGAAACTTTTAGGTTTACATCTTTTTTAGAGGAAATAAAAAAGGAGTTTTCAGAGTGTCCAACTCCTGGAAAAAATAAAGTACCAATGTTTTCTATGTAGTTATCAAGTAGACAGTTATTAAGTAATTTAAGCACGACTAATGCCAGCTGCAAGATTATCTTCTGCCAACAGACTATTTCATGAATATTCAGGAGAAATACGAGACTAATTAAACAGAGCCAATTTGGTATTCTCATTTCATGGCTGAGTGGATTAAAGTATCCGGCTCTTATGCAAATTGGATAATGGTAAATATTAAAATCATATCTTCCTAAGATATATTCATTAATCAAGATAGATATAAAATCCAGTTCATAACTTTAAATTGCATGGATCTTTAAAAGATGAAAATTCAAGTAAATAAAATTTAAATAAAGATCACACAGCTCTTATGTGGCGCCTTCAGTGAGTGGCTGCTACACAATGACACTGGGCAGGGAACAGCCCGATGAGACTTGGAGGCAGTGTGACTAAAGCTGCCACAAAGCTCGGAGCAGGGTTCCCTGGCATGATGGAGACAGCACATTGTTGCAGTTTTATTATTTGTCATTTCTAACAGTCGGAGCAGGGTTCCCTGGCATGATGGAGACAGCACATTGTTGCAGTTTTATTTGTCATTTCTAACAGTAGCAGCAAAACAAAGGCTTGCCTCACCTGCAGCTGCACTGTAAGAATGGAGTAAGTTACATGGAACACGCATTAAATGCTCACTTTTATGAAACAAGCCATGCGAATACTTACACTGTTTATTTTGCCAACAAGTTGGTTTTGCTCTTCATTTCTCTTTCTAAGCTCAGTTTCCAGATCTAATATTTTAATTTGTAAAGCCCTCTCTCTAGATGACATTTTCTCTACTTCTTCAGAAACCTGTAAATTTCATTAAAAGAATAAAATAACTAAATGTGTTTTCCTTAAAAGATATTTTGAAGCCCTGATATAGTCATAGGATACTACTTTTTTCCCAAGTACATATTAACTGGGTATTAGAAAATAGTCAATGTATTTTATCTTGAGTTGGGAATATAAGTCTGTGGTAGATGGTATCCGAGCACATGCAAGGCCCTGGGTTCAATCCCAACACTGCAAAGGGGAAAATGAAGAGTTTAATTTGAAGAAGCACATACAACATATGTGTGTGTGTGTGTGTATACATATATATATATATACACACACATATGTTGGTATCTGGAAAATTAACTTGAGATAGAAAGGTGTGTGGGCTTGCACTGTTTGTGACAGTTTCAGGCATACTAAACTTAATTAACACTTTTGTCGTATTTATTTATATTCACTGTGGTATCTGGGAGACTGCTGGACTGTAGCTAGGTCTCACTGAACACAGTCTGTGTCTGGATAGCCCGTAGAGGGGCAGTGTGCCCACAGCACCTACACAGGCACATGAGGTTAGTGCTTCTTCCTGCACTTTTAAAGCAGCCCGAATGTGAGATTTTCCATTTCTCTTGATTGCTGATGTTAACTCAAGTCTAGCCTAGCTGTGGTCATCAGAGATACGGCAAGAGGAGGCCCATCTGTAAGAATGTCGGTTTGGAGCCACAAGTGTGAGAGCTGAGGTCAGGGTTAGTCCAGAGCAAAAGGCTAAGCAGGAATCACTGCTGTGAGAGTACTCCAAGGACTCGGTTCTAAGTTACTATGGACCAATTCAGACACAACACAAAAGGAAGCAGAGAGCTCTGAAGCCAGGGAGGGAGGAGAGGGCTCAGGGAAACACCCATGCCCTCGATGAAGACAAGGCTGACAGAGAAGGCAATGATGGCCCTCATCACATGGTCAGAAATGAGAGACATCACCATGTTCCTCCAGTGTAGGAGAGAGGAAAGGGCAGGCAAGTAAAGTAGACTTCGGTGGGGTGAGGCATGGGAGTCCCTACACTAGAGATGGTCACCTTTCAGACCCATACTTCCCACAAAGGAAACCACAGGCTCCATTTTGCTGATTAGGAGGCAGCCTGCCCTTGGTGAGGATACCATGCATCAGAGCCAGAACCCAAATCCAGCTACCAGGACTCCAAAGCTCACCCTATGGTCTTTCAATGTGAGATTTCAAGTTGTTTTTTCTTTGTTTTACATCCTGGCCAGTTCCCCCTCCCTCCTTTCTTCCTACCCCTCCCCAACTCTATTCCTACCTCCAATCCACTCCTCCTCCATTTCTGTTCAGGAAAGGGCAGGCCTCCCATGAGTATCAACAAAACATGGTATATCAAGCTGCACTAAGACTGAGCACCTCCCCATGTATTAAAGCTGGGCAAGGTAACCCAGTATGCGGAGTAGGGTCCCAAAAGTCAGTAAAAAGAGCCGGAGACAGCCCGTTTCTGTCCCCACGATTATCCGTCTCACAAGAGGACCAAGCTACACAGGTGTAACATATATGCAGAGTACCGAGGTCAATCTCATGCAAGCTCCATGGTTGATGGTTCAGCCTCTGTAAGCTCCGATGAGCCCAGATTAGTCAATTCTGTGAGTTTTCTTCTGGTGTACTAGACCCCTCTACCTCCTACAACCCTTTCTTTCTGACTTGTGCATGATTCCCCTAGCAAACTCCACCTAGTGTTTGGCTGTGGGTCTGCATCTGTTTCCATCAGCTGCATGACCACTGGGCTAGGCACCAATGTGGTCACAGGAGATCACCAGTTCAGGCTACACAATCACTATTGCTAGGAGTCCTCCTTGTGGACGCCTACCTGACCAGGTTTGTACCTGACCCTGAAAAGCAACCCCTTTCCAGTAATCTCTTTCACTCTAGCTGTTTGATAAATTCATTTTCTTTGAGATCTTCCCACCATTCCCTTTGACTCTGATTAGAATGCCCACTTTTTATGGTGTTTCTTGAGCCTACCTCTACTACAGAACCTGCAGGTAACATGACATCCACACTCCAAGGGGCTGGGTAGACTGAATGCCCACTTAACAGGTTTAACTGGAAAGCTATTATTGTTTGTACTTATTTCTGCAACAAATATTTGCCACAAAAAAGTTGAACCTTAGAGTTCACTGGATCTAAATCAAGACAAAACCTTTATTGATTTATTCAACTACACACACACACACACACACACACACACACGCAAGAGCACACATACACACATGCAGGCACACACATGCACACACATTCGATCACTATCATGCACGTGTACACACACACATATGCATGAGCATACGTACACACACATGCAGGCACAAACGCATGTGCAAGAGCACACATACACAGGCACACACATGCACACATGTGTGAGCACAATCATGTGTGCGTGCACACACACACGGTGCATAAGCACACTCACACACACGAAGACACAAAGACACACACATAGACACACACACACACACACACACACGCGCGCGCGCGTGTGTACATGGAAAGGTCACACTCCAGACCTTCTCCTCTCTGCCCACTCCTCTGGAAAGGCAGCCCTTGCCCGGGAAATTAAGTACAGAACAAGAATGGAGCTGCGCCCTCCACCCTGCCATCAGCATAGAAACAGTAACTGTAGGTTGGGCGATGGGAGATGACTCTGGCAAACTAATTAAAAAGCGCCAAATAAAGGCCATCTGTACCTTCTGCCTCCCTTCTTCCAACGCGGCTTCCAGCTGCCTGGACAGCATTGTGTACTCCGCAGCCTTCTCTTCCAGCTGCAGGTCGCTGCGTTTCAGATGCTCCTCTTGGTCAGCCAGCCTCTTCTCCAGCTCTTTATTCTCAACATCCATCTGCTCCAACTTTCTGTTTACAGAAATGCACGTGAGCGCACGTGTGTGTGTGTATGTGTGCGTGCGTGTATGTGTGTGTTTATGACTATGACATATATTTCACATACAAACACACACATATAAATTATAGTGCATGAGGGAAATGCAACATCAATTTTAAGTCAACTTGATACTCACTCTTTAAGGTTTTCACACTTTAACTGAATAAGATAATTCTCCTCCTCAAGAGAAAGCTTGCTTAGGAGGCTTTGGTTTTCATCAACCTAAGTGGGAAAACAAACAAACAAATGAAAACACTTTTTCAGTTATTTTTTTCACTGATATCCAAGGAAATAATGTATTTTAGAACAAGAAATAAGAAGATATGAATATTCAGAAAGACACCAAGCCACATTTACAAAGCTAACACACAAGTTCTCCAACTCCCCAGTGAGGTTTAAAAACTGGCATTGTCTATGTTAGAAAATTAACTATATTTCTTTTCTGTGTGATGGTAACTAACATATCTTGAACAATGTTTTACTGAAAAGTGACATTTAGTTTTGCAGGGGGTAGGGGTATAGCTCAGCAGGCAACAGCTTTCCCAGCATGTACAAACCCAGCAGTACATAAAACCAGGTGTGGGGCTCATGCTGCAATCCCAGCTCAAGAAATAGAGCAAAGAGAATAAGAAATTCAAATTCATCCTTGGGTTGAGGCCAGTCTGAGCTACATGAAACCCTGCCTCAAAAACCAAACGACAACAAGACAAAACAAAAGTGTGTGTGAAAATCTGAAACATTTTTAATTAGATATTTAAGGTGTCTCATATCAATAATGTTCCACTGAAATTACTCATAATTTCCTGTGAAGATGCTACCGCAAGTAAAAGTCAAATAATCAAAGACAGGGATGCTCAAGTCAAGAGTATTCTTCCCACTGCTTCAAAGTCTCATTTAAATAGTTAAAACTAGCTTGAATAACAAAAACATTTTCTTATCAGGGATGGAGAGATGGTTCAGCAGTTAAGAGCACTGGCTGATCTTCCAGAGGACCCAGGTTCAATTCCCAGCATCCACATGGTGGCTCACAACCATCCCACAACCCCAGTCCTAGGGAATCTGATGCTCTCTATTGGCCACTTTGGGCACTGCATGCATGAGACCTACAGACAAAACACCCATATCCATAAAATAAAAACCAATTTTCTCATATATTCACGTAGTAATCAAATTAAATATAATGATTATTTTTCTAGAATTGCTTCTTGGAAATTTGTTTCACATTTTTAAAAGCAGAATGCATTCACTTGGAAGACACAAAGTGAATTATTCCTGAAAGTGTCTTGCAAGTAAAGAAACAGACTGGCTACCAATCACAAACATGCCTTTTTAAGAAAACATGTACGGGTGCTTACTGTGTGATGAACACTGAGGTAGGAGGTAGATGCATGGAGATTAAGAGGGTTCACACGGTCCCTGTCCTGATGGATTGATAGGTACTTAGAAAAAGGACAGAATTACTCCCAATAAGCTTGATGCCTAACTAATTAAAATGCATTCTGATTTCTGTAAGGTAAACTGTTACTTCTCCTGTGCTGATGTGGGGAAACCGACATGCAAGCCCCGCCTTGTCCCTCCTCTCATTACATCACCACACTATGTCCTCCTAGTCCAAACGCAGACTCACAGAACCTCTATCAGCCACTTCAATTACCGGTGCCACTGGGAAATGCTAAGGGGTAACAGTAGAATATCTGCACGAAAACATTTTCATAGACGGGAATAAAAAGTTCAACCCGACAGGAGCGCCCTCAGCTGGTGAAATGACGTCAAATGCTCCTTTAACTCATCTTCTGGGACTCGGAACGACGGGACACCTGGCCCTGAAGCTCCCTAACGGTGTGCGCCTGCTCTGCACACTTCTCCTTGCAGCGCTGCAGATTCTCCTGACACTCTTGAAGTCTCTGTTCGGCTGATGTGAAGGAGTGGCGGGCGCGCTCTACCTGCTTCAAGTGCACCGCCACCTGGCCTCTCATCTGAGGTGTGACATCGGGGGACATAAATGCAAGGTCACACATTTGGCAGGGGTCTCCTTTCTGTCTTAACGACTAGACATGCTTGTTATTAATAAGTACTTTACAGGTGTTGATCTACGTGAGACATGTAACCATAAGTAATTCATTTTCAGAAAGGTTGTCAGGCAAGTAAGTGTGGTGACATCAGCCCACTTCAGGGGTCACACGTGGCGGGAGTGACTGAGGAACTGGAGTGTTCTTTTCCACTGGTTCATCTCCAGCTCTCCAGTGGCCATCACTTGATAGCACCCTGTAAGTCACGCCTGCTCCTGGCGGCTAACACATGGGTTCCCACTTGGCTGTGTATGGCCACTGTCTTGCCATGGGAGCAAATCCAGCTGTACCCACAGTACCCCCTCGCCTCTTGCCCTTTCTCACTGCAACGCCTCTGTAAATTAGGGACAGGAGTGGCGTGATGCCGCACTGCTCCGTGCGATTTAACTAAAAAGTGACATTCAGCATGTTCCCATGGAGGCAGTGCAAAGGGACAACTGGCTTGAGTGGGGATACCCACAGTTTCAGTGCAACAAGATATAAGACCAGAACAAAGCCATGAGAAAAGCAGGACACTCAAGCAGGGGATAAGTAAAAAGAAGAATTTCTTTTTTAAAACAACATACTTTTCTATTTCTATAACCAGAAAACATTATAAGGAAAGTCTCTGGAAAACCAGGTTCCTCCCGTTTGTGCCTTTGAAGAGGATTTAAACTAGGTTTTTACTGCACTCCCTAGCAGGAGAGAGAAAATGTGTACAACACTACCCTGTAAGAAACAGACAACATGAAATGGCATCTTCGTCGGTCTGCTAAACTGGGTGAGAAACAGCTCTAAGAATGGATCGGGTTCCTCATTTGGTGGCCTGGTGGCCTGTCCTGGCTGACTATACCTCCCTCTTAGTTCCCAAACTCAAAATGTGCCACAGACTCTGATGTCCTATGACTCTCACTGTTTCCTTACCAAAACAATGTGAAATCCAAAGTGGAATGTGGTTCCATCTAAAAACTTAAAAATATTCACAAAAACACCATCACCTGCCAATACTGGCTCCTCCTGCTTCTGTGGCAACTGCATGAATAAAAGAGGAGGCTTTTCAAGATATCATTTTTCTTCCCAAAATGAATTTACCAGAGAATATTTACTTTGCAATTCTTTTTAGACACACACAAATTGTAAAAATAAAGAGAGACTAGTTTGCATTTTACTGCTGATAGATCTCAACAATAAAATAAATGGGTTTTTTTAGTTTTAATCTACTCATGCATCAAAAAAGGAAGTATTATCTCTCAAATATGAATAAAAATGTAAGACATTCTCTCCAATAAACAACATTTCAATTCTTGGGGAACATTATGTCTTCAAGGGGAAATACAAAGCTCCCACAGAGACTCTGAAGGGGCCATTCCTAGGCACACGCTGATGAAATGATAAACAGGAAAAGAGCTGTGTGACAGTCGGGGTTAAATGGATGCATTCATGTAAAATACTTTATTATCACAATTTCAAACTTACCTTCTCCAACTTTTTGTTTTTGTTTTTTATGATTAGGTTATTTTCATGTAGCAATTTTTTACATCTGTTTTTTACCACTTCAGCTGCTTCTTGCAATTTTTGTACCTTAAAAAACAACAACAGAGAGAGAGAGAGAGACTGTATTAAGTATAACATGACATAAGAGCTAAAGAATGCATTTACATTTGTTTACTTTGTATTTGTATTGTAAAGAAATCTCCATTTCTCTTCTACACTCTCCCCAGGTTTATGTATCACCCCCACCCCCCAATAGAATCTCTCACTGTTCAATTCTAGCACATGGCTTCATTATCTTCCTGTCTTCTCTGATCGATGCTCTTACACCCTTTATTTGAGCTCTAAAGACAGCATCCATTTTTACTTCCAGACCATTGCTACTTTAAGAAACTAGTCTCTCATTTCTTCTTACACCTGTCATAATGGCTAAGAGCAACAAACCAAGTGACAGCTCATGCTGGCAAGGATGTGGAGCAAGGGAAACACTCTTCCACTGCAGACTTGCACAGCCACTGTGGAAATCAGTGTGGCAGTTCCTCAGGAAGATGGGGGTTGATGCATTTCCACCCAAAGACTGCTTCATCTTACCACAAAGACACTTGCTCAAACATGTTCATTGCTGATCTATACATAATAGCCAGAAACTGGAAATAATCTAGATGTCCCCAACAGAAGAGTGGATAAACAAAATGTGGTACATTTATACAATGGAATATTACTTAGCCATTAAAAGTGAAATAATGAAATTTGCAAGTAAATGGATAGAACTAGAAGAAAAAAAATCATCCTGAATGAGGTAACCCAGACCCAGAAAGACAAATATGGTATGTGTTTGCTTGTGTGTGGATATTAGCTATTAAGGCAATTATAACCAAGCTACAATCCATAGAAGTACAGAGGGTAGGAAAAGAGTAAGTGACTATGGGGGGCAGATATCACTCATTAAAAAAGGAAATAGTAGCTATGGATTGATGGGCTGGAATAGAAGGATCAACTTGTATGGGGAGACAAGGGTAAGAATACAGGGAGAAACATCTAAAATTAAGAGTCATTTGAGGAGTAGTATGGAAACCCAATACTTTAGAAACTTTAATAATATACATATATGAAGGCAATCTAAATGAAATCTCCAAATAATGGGGGAGACAAAGTTACCAAGTGTCTTTTGTCATTAAACAAAGCTTCCAGTACTAGGGTTGGTTGGGTTACATCTAATTGAGTTGTTGACCAAAAGAGGTCACATGGGAATCGACAAATAGTCTAGGCTATTGCCAAGGCAACACACCTCAAACTGGCAAGGCTTCATTACTGAAGATAACACCTACACAGCTCCTTGAACATGGAGAAGTCAAGCTGGTGCCCATAGAGCCTTCACTACATTCTAGCATCTCTGGTAAAGGAAGGTTCTCTGCACAGTACTGAAGAGGAGGGTCAACACCACAAACTCTTTGATCATGATGGCGTCTTGCCTGCAAGATACACTAGGGCAATGGCAGCACAAAGCTTGTGGGAGTAACCCACCAATATCTGATCTGACTAAGATGAACTCCAAGAGGTGGAACCCATTCCTGACACTCCACAGTGACCAAGAACCTGACACTAGATAGCCCAGGAATACTACTGTCCTAAGCAAACAAATGCAAAAGCAGAAATAAAAATGACTCCTAATGCCATTCGCCTACACTCAGATCAGTGCCTCACTCAGCCAGCATCAGAGAAGCTTCCGCCTGCAGCAGATGGGAACAGATGCAGAGACCACAGCCACACACTATGCAGAGTAAGAGACCTTGCAACACTCAGTCCTAAACAGAGTGTCTCCTGTTTCCTACAGGGCTCAGTGACCCCCACAGAAGAGGAGAGAGAAGGTGGGTAAGAGCCGGAGGGGATGGAGGACACCAACCAAGGCCGCCTTCTTGCACAGGGCCTGCATGAGTCTGGACCTATTATGGCTTTCACTTTAATGACTGTATGGGATTCCTGAATGTGCAAACAAATGGTTCTCTTTTCCTTCTATTTGATTGTTTTGCCCAACTCTGATGTGTTAGTTGTTGCTTTATCTTATTATATTTTAATATATCGTATTTTGTTTTATTTTATTAATATCCCTTAGAAGCCTGCTAGTGAGAGACAGAAAGGGAGCAGATCTGGATGGGTGGGGAGGAAGTAGGAAGAGTAGAGGGAGAAAGGAAAACATAATCAGGATGTAATACGTGAAAAAAGAATCTATTTTCAATAAAAGAAAAATTAAAAACTAGCTCTCATTCCAATAATCTTTCCCATCAAATCAATCTATGCAAAGAACATGGATGAACTGTGCACACTGAACAGCAGCTTCGGCATGGTATATTTAGATGAAGCCTTCTTGCTGGGACTTTGAACCCAAACAAGCAGGCAGGACACAGTTCTCAGCCTCCATGCATACCTCCCTTCCTGCAGTACTTCAGCTGGTATCTCAATGGATTTTGTCACCCAACCCGCCTAGATGCAGCTCCTCTTGCTACACTTTACTCCACATTGGGCTTCTGCCTGTAATACATTTTCTTTTCCTCTTTCCTCAGCCCCTCTCCTTCCCACAATGCTGGGCACTAAACCTAAGGACTCACACTTGCCAAGCAAGACGTCTCAGACTATACACCACACCCCGAGTCTGTCACTATTCTTTAATTCACAGCCTTCCAATAACAGCTCTTTCTTTAATAACCAACTTGCTTCCCACCATGCAAGTATCTGTGTTCATTCAGTCTTTTCCAGTTTCCCTTCAATATTGCATTTCTAAAACTGAAAGCTTAACTATGGCCATACATTCTATTTTAGCTAAAACACCATATGTTGTTTTGTGTTTCTGTGCTACATCTGTGTGCACATATTTGCATGTGTATGCACTTCTGTGTGGATGTCAGAGGTTGGCATCAGGTGTCTTCTCTATTGTTCTCTACCTTATTTTCTGAGACACTGAAATGAGTTACTAATCTGGCTGAGCTGGCTCCAGGGATCCATGTCTACAGCACCCTCTACCTCCCGCTGGGTTACAGATGCACACTGCTGCGGCTCAGCTTTGTAGTTTTGTAGTTGGGACCTGGGGATCCAAACTCATGGTTGCATGGCAAGCACACTACCAACTGAATCATCTCACCAAGTCTCATATGTTTCTTTCCATGTATTTCATGTGGGTGAATTTCAATTACACATTATATACTAGGAAAGGGGAGTACTGGATTTAATGGCCCTAGATGACAGTCATTGTTTTAAACCAATACTATTAAATATAATAATGAGACAGCACATTAAGATTCTTATCACACCTATGCAATCTATTTTAAATTTCCTCTCAGGAATATCTCATATTTCCATAAGTAGGGATAGCATTAGGAATAGGCAACACTACCTTTAGAAAGGCATACAGGGTCTTAAAGGATGCTTGAGACAAAGTGTGTTTATCTCACAGATATTTGCCCTGTCTTCAGTTCTGTCGACTTGTGTCACTGTGTTTGAAGTCATCTACAGATATTAATAAACACTAGACAGATGCAAGTCACCTGAGTTTTATATACGTCGATGAGAGTTTTCTGTTGTTTTTCTACTTCTTGTAATTCTACGAGCTCATTTTCAACAGAAACAACTTCATCCTTCAAAGCGTCAAGCGTACCCTAGAAAGAAACTCATGATTGATGGAGTTTTTCAGCCAACAGAACATTACAATCCATGTTGAAGAATTACTAAAGCATACCTCATTTATCAACATCAATAAAATAATCATTTCGATGGCATATAGTTGCCATCTAAAATTAATAACTAACATTCATGAATAAATTTAATCAGTACACAGGACAGATTTCTTAAAATTTACTGACAAATAAGAGAGAGCTGAAAATAAGTTGTGTTCTAAATAAAAAGAATCAATAATGTTGACATGTCAAGTTTTCCACTTTCATTTAACACTTTTCAATCTCAACCAAAAATATAAGAGCTGGAGGGGATATGACAAAGTTAACTCAAAACTCACATGGCAGCTGGGCATGGTGGCACATGACCACAAATCCGTACTTATGAGGCAAAGGCGGGGAATGTTGCAAGGTCTAGGCCAGCAGAGGCTACTTAATAAAACCCAGTCTCAAAATTAAAATACCTTCTATGAGACAATAAACAGGAAAGACTTAAACAATATATAAATGATACTAAGTGCATAATATCTCAACATATTAGATATTGAAATATATAAAGAATTAAGTTATCAAGATACTAAGAACACAGAAGACAGCAGAAAAGGAAAAGAAAAATACACAAAACTTACCATATGGTCAACAGTGGGTTTTAAACCACAAAGGGAAACATGAGCTGTAAGTAAACCTTGAAAAAACTCCAACTACTAGGGGGAAAGGTTAACCAACCCGCCTTGGCTCACTGCCAAAGCAGCATCAAATGAATTAAATAGTTTTAATTGTAAAGATACGAAAGGAGATCCAGGCAAAACTCTATGTGACTTCAGAACAGCACAAATTCTACTGAGGTGCTAAGACTGGCAAGGATATTCTCCACATGTACATGCCCGTCAGCCTACCAGTTTCATAGGCGCTCGTATAAGGCACAAAGTGGGTAAGAGGCAGAGGGTAAGAGGCAGTAGCAGCAAAACCATGGGCATTGTGTTACTTTCCTGAGGTACACCTCCAATAGGGTAAGACAAAGAAGCTGATGATAACCACATATGGACTAGGATGTATTAGAAGATGGCAAAGTCTAAAGACTCAAATATGTCATAACAGAGATTCTAATTCTCTGCATGAATGCAAACTACAGGTATCTACTGATGATGCTGTCCTCATCAGCCTTAACTGTGAATACCATCTACAGTCAAGTGAGGAACTGCCTAGTTCAGGCTGTGGGGATATCTGTGAGGGTTGCCTTGATTACTAATTGATGAAGGGGCCCAGCTGACCGTGGGTAGCACCACTCACCAGGCAGGTGGTCCTGAGCTTTCTACAAAATCTAGTCCCCACCACCCAAAGAGCTGGACAAAAAAGAGACTGAGAACAAAGACTCAATCCAGGTCACACTCAGATACCCAGGGGGAGAGAGAGAGAGAGAGAGAGAGAGAGAGAGAGAGAGAGAGAGAGAGAGAGAGAGAGAGAGAGAGAGCCAATATTGGTTTGAAGATAAAATTGAACACAAAGAAAGGTCTAGAGAACTACAAGACTGCTGCCAACTAACAATTTGAGCTTCCGTGGAAAGGCTGCCATAAATGTCCTTCCCGGAAAGTGAGATCAACAACTAACTTATCCATGGAGCCCTCATCTAATACCTGTTGGAAACAGGAGCAAACACCCATGCATAAACACTGAGTCGAACTAGAACCCAGATGCAGATGGAGAGGACAAGACCATGCGGCAGAAACACATAGAGACAGCTTACCTGAACAAGGAGGAGCTAGCGCCCCCCCCCCAGACTGATAGCTGGGAAGCCAGCATGGGTCTGACTCAGGCCCCCCTGAATATGGGTCTCAGCCAGAAGGACTGAGTAGTCTAAGGGACCTCAGACAGTGGAACCAGGATGTATCCCTGGTGCACAAAAGGACTTTGCGAACACATCCCCCATGGAAGGATACTGCCTTAACCTAGAGACAGGAGAGAAGCCCTAGTCCCTACTTCATATGACCTGTCAGATCTACATGACCCCAACTGGATGGCATTGCCCTACATATGGAATTGGGGTGGGGGGATGGGAGGGGAGGGTGGTTAGGGTGCATGTGAGAGGGCAGAGAGGGTAAAAGGGAGGGAGGGAAGGAGGGAGAGAAGGAGGAAGGAAGGGAAGAAGAGGGAACTGGGATCGACATGTAAAATAATAAATTAAATAAACTTGTTTCCTTTTCTTAAAATGATTATGATCACTAGATGTTTAAAATTATGTTCACAATAGGAAAAGTTCAATGGACTTGTTACGCATTTATTGATGGACTTTCAGAAAAATTATAGGATTCCAGACGCTGAGTTTCATATTTGTTGAAGTTTCCTTGGCTAAGGGGTGGCGTGGGGATGGGGACTGACATCTTGTTCTTTTCTACTCTTTCTAAACTTCTATTTCTGTCTCTAGAACATGAATCTTGGAGAGTTTGGGGATTAGTTATCTCATGGTTCAAACACTTCTCTTCTGATTTTTGTTTTGAGGAGCTGGGAATGATGCCCTCAGGCTCTGTCAAGTCCTGTCCAGCCACAGGATTGTCTGTGTCTAAGAACTCAGGTTCCTTTTTTCTCAGAAAGTCTAAAATCTTCCTTGCCCATCTCTTCTCTGGGACACATATAAACCAATCACTCTTTGGATTTGGCTCTGTTGGAAATTCTTTCTGGTTATAAATTAGCCAAGAACATACTTTCTGGGTTTTTTTTCTGGTTTCAAACAGACCCAGCCTGATGGTGTATCATATGGTAACCATGACACCTACAAATAGTTTTGTGCAGTACAGCTAATGCAATTTTGGATGATTCACTGCTAAAGTTAGAGAGTAAATAAACTGTTTTAAAGATGAGACAAAGAGAGAGTTGTTTAACTTCATATAAGCCTTGCTTTGTCCTGCTAAATTCAATTTAAACTTACTTTTGTATTTGTTACTAAAAATCTTAAGACTTATACAAGAACACAGACATTATCTGTGTGTCTAGAAACTATCTATTTAATGATACAATGTCATGAGAAACATGAAAGATAAAACAACACATAAGCATTACCCCAATCTTGCCTTTAACCCAAGCTACTGCTAATAAGTGTGCACACACACGCATGCGCACACACATTACCTTTAATTTCACATTCTCAATATTTAGTGCTTCATTTTCACCTTCAAGTGAGTGAAGTTTTCTAAGAATTTCTTCACATGATTTTTTCCCATGAGTCTCCATTTTCTTCAAATCTTCCAAAAGATTAACGATCTGCCTTTATAAAATAGTGAGAGCATGGAAATTTTCATTGAAAGAACATACTATGTTTTTAAATTATTCTGGTAGGGAACACTCGTTAAAATGGAAAAGGCACAGAGAGGCAGCAGGATGGATGCAGCAAGGGAACAGGAGTGCGGACCCAGGGCTATGCTCAAAGCAGCCAGGGTGAGAGTACTCACCTACTGATGGATGATGCCATCTGGTCTACCCCCACAGGATGCACGTCTGCCCACCCACCCACACACACACACACACACACACGCGCACACACATGTGCGCACATGCACACACACACACACCCACGCACGCATGCACGCACGCACACACACACATGCGCGCGCGCACACACACACGTGCGCACATGCATACACACGCACGCATGCACACACACACACACACACACACACACACACACGGACGTAAGTTTTAAAGGAAGGATCATGTGAGGCAGTGACACCTCATCTTTAGAGGACGACCTGTCAGTTCTCCAACAGCAGCACAGAAGCAAATCTTAAAGCAAATATTAGGGTCTGTTAATGCTCCTTAGCAGCAGTGTCAAAGGGCAAAATGTATGGATTTTACTCATTAACTTTCTCTGCTACGCACTTTAGTCCTTTGAATTAAGGGATAATAACTTTTAGGACTTTAAAACAATTATAAACTGCTTCGTTCATGTCCTTGCTTAATTGGCAAACGTTACTTCTCCTTAGAACAAACTAGCTGTGTTTATAAGAAATAGCAGACACACACTCAGGCACAGAGTGAGAATCTGTGAGCTCCCCCTCTGAGATGGGAATAGCAGTGTGTGCTGGTCACTGTCACTCCCGTCTCTGTCCGTGGGGGCACAGCTTAAGCACTATCCACACAGAACCCAGAAGAAGCAAAACATGCACTGTTGGACAAGAATCAAGTCGCTTCTCACTAGACAATGACAATCTACATTCTTGCTTACTTTTTCATTGTTTCAATCTGAACTTCCAGTTCAGTTTTTTCTATTACGATTTCCTCATAATGACTTTTCCAGGCATTGGAGGCCGAAACTGCTTCAGACAACTTGGCTTCCTAGAAATATAGAAAGCATTCATCTTGTAACTTAGACTGTTGTTTTTCCTTTTGTTTTATTTTTATTTTATTTTTACAGGTCTTAGACACAGATACACTGTAAATACGAAAATACTCATCCGGTAAACATGTAATTTTTCTTGTAGAGAAGCTTGGTGCGCAGCTTCTCATGTAGGAAAATCTAAAATGAGCTTTAATAAAACACCCATATGACTACTACTTTATGTGCACACAGTAAGTTCCCACTTACTATTTTAAGATGGTGATGTGACTAGTTTCAAGTACTACTTCACAATTAATAAAATTATGAATGCATCACCATTTTCCATCCTTTACACAGAAGAGTAACAACCACATACATGTGTGAAGTTTCCCATGATATATAGAAACTATTTGCAATTCCACAGCTCATGATCTCCAAATGCAGCCCTATGTGTCTAGAGGTCAGCCATCAGCTTGCCAACACTTGCTGTCAGCAGAGGAGAGGCAGGGGTCAGTCAGTTTGAATGTGAGATTCACAAACGAGCATTTCTGCATTTGCTTCATTGCTGTTTGTAGGGTTTCAAGTGGTGCCAGGGACACTCGGTAAATGTCAACGGCTCTCTGCACCACTCTGTGGCTTTGCCCACATTCTACAGAGAAGCAAACTCACTCGTTACAAGAATGCCAGTTAACCAGCAGCCAGAGAACCCACAATAGTATGCAGTTTACATACTACTTTCCTCTTCCCTATCATTCATTCATTCACAGGAAAAGTCTATTGGTCATTGGTCATCTTGTATGCACAAGACATTGTCTACACTTTTCACAGAAATGTTTGTTACACTGAAGACTAGTGACTATTTCATATCTCATGTAAAATAAAATTTAATATAAATTCTGAAGGAAGAGGTGGCTATAATAAAATACACTCTAAAGTCAGTTCATACCATAATGTATATCATGTTAGGTACTCAGGACTTGAATCCATGGAAGGAATGTATACATTACATATGTAACTTCTTTCAGCTCTCCTTACAGAGAGACACACAGCAAGAGCCCTCACCCTCCACTGCAATGGGACTTTCAGAACTGGTGCCACGGCAGCCTCCTCATTCCTCAGACCTCACGGGCTCTCCCTACTCCCCGTCCTCCTTCATTTCCCTGGGTTGTACTGCATGAACATTCACGGTACACCAAGTCAATTCAATAAGATGTCTCACTGTTGAACTCATTTGTGAGTTCCTTGAGGAGGGAGAATGGTAAAGCATGAGACAGCTTCAGAATGAAATGCACACCAGAAAATTAAGAAAATTAAGAAAATTGTTAAAGGTCTGGGAAGGCCTTCCCTGGAGAGGAGTTGAAAAGTTAACTGATTTAGAGGGAAGGACTTAAAGCCAGAGGCAGCAGCCAATCAAAGGGCAGGAGATAGTGGCATAGAGCAGCCCCATCCGTTTTTTTTTTTTTTTTTTTTTTTTTTTCTGTGCATGCTCCTACAGTCCTTTAAAGGGGAGCCACACCTTATGTCCTAGTTCATAAAAGCAGTGAAAGGTTAGAGAGGCTACCCAACGGGAAAGCAGTCACCAGGGCTAATCAGTGCAGGAGCCTGTCCAAGAGGCTACCCAACGGGAAAGCAGTCACCAGGGCTAATCAGTGCAGGAGCCTGTCCAAGAGGCTACCCAACGGGAAAGCAGTCACCAGGGCTAACCAGTTCAGGAGCCTGTCCAAGAGGCTAACCAACGGGAAAGCCTCAAAAGCATCATGCCAGGATTAGTGTCCACCGCTCCAAGCAGCTGTAGGTGTTCAGTCAGCTATGACCTTGCAGGCACTGAGCCTACTCTTCAGTTCAATATCTACTTACACTCAAGTGAGTGTACATTAATTATTAGAGCCTTTTAAGGTGATATTTGGGCTTATAAAACTTTAACTTGTTTTGTTTGTACAAGCTCTTATATGAGTCTGTTTTCATTTCCCAAGCCACTAATAAATCTATAAGCCTTAGCATACGTTCTTAAGAGGTGGGTACTAGGAAGCCACAATGAATATTCTAGTGGTTGGCAACTGAATAAGAACAATGATTTGTCAAGAAGAACAAAGCACTAGGTCTATTTTTCAGCTCTGCGTTATACTCAAAGATATCTTTCACATGTTTTGTTTACGTCAGCATATGGCTTCAAATGCGTTACAGAGGTTAAACGAAGTGAATTACTGAATAAAGTCATATGGTCTAATAACATAAATCAGCATTTCCCAAACTGATATTTCTCAGAACCATTTCCAAGAGCTGCTTTGTGGGTACAAGAAGAGTTCTGTGGCTAAGTGTGGGAAACCCTTAGTTCCATGCCCTCATTACTGCCCTCTGAAAGCCTTTTCAGGGCCTTTAATATGGTAATATGCACTGCAACTTTCCAGTGGGCAAAAAGGAGGAAGCCTTACTCTTAGTTAGCCATAAAAGCTTTTGGTGTGTGTATGTGCTGGGGAGGAGGCATGGAATACATTTACGTTTCCTTTCAGTAAGTTCCCAAAAGCGCTGTATAATTCAAATTCTGCATTTTATGATTATAATCTTTCAAAAATAAAAGTCTAAAGCAAAAAAGCTAAGTAAATTTTTGTAGCATTAACAGTAACATAGATAGAAATAACACCATTATCTAAAACTTCATGTTAACTATGCTAACTATACAATCTAACAATGTTATCCAACTAACTATGCTAACTATACTATGTAACTATACTATCTAATAACTATGCTATCTAACTATATTGTCTAATTATGCTAACTATTCTGTCGAATCTTGCTATCTAACTAACTATACTGTCTAAGTAACTATGCTAATTATGCTAACTAGGTTATCTATCTAACTATGCTCTCTAACTAACTATGCTGTCTAACAGTACTATTTAAATATGTTGTCTAACTATGCTGTCAAACTACACTAACTTTACTTTCTAACTATACTATCTAACTAACTTTACTTTCTAACTATACTATCTAACTAATTTTACTTTCTAACTATGCCATCTATCTAACTCTGCTGTCTGACTAACCATGCTATCTACCTAACTCTGCTGTCTGGTCATGCTACCTGACTAACCATGCCGTCTGACTAACCATGCTGTCTAGATAATTCTCATATTTTAAGTACATGAAGCATCTTATAGCGCAATCAGCACACTCACCTGATCTCTGATCTGGGCAGTGAGGTGTTCAATATCCCCTGTAAAGTGTCTCAGCCTTTGTCTGTAAACTTTCGATGCTTTTTTCAGAGCCACAGCTTTCTGCTTACTTGCTTCTTTGATGGCTACAGCCTCCTGCTTACTCATTTTCACCTGCAAGTTCCACTTGGCTATTTGGGTTTCCAAGCTCTAAAAAAATGTTAAAAGCAGTTAAATTACGTCAGAGCGTCAATGCTCAAATAAATGTTTCAAAACACATATGTCATCTTCTGCACACATGTTACCAAAACAAATATTCATAAATAGTTAAAAAGTTAGACAGCAGCAAGAGGTGGCATAATCTAAACTTCCTGTAGCAAATAAAAAATGAAAATTCAAAGTATTTCAACACGTATAAAACTTATGGTATTAGGACTAAAGAGATGATTGTGGCAGAAATGTCAGCTTCCTTAAAGCTCCTGGGATAAGACATCATTTCGTTCACATATGAAATAAAACAAACAACAATTGAAAACATGATCTCAATCCTCAGTATGCAAAGCAACTCATAAATACATGTGAGCGAGCGCCTCTGATAACAAGATGCACAGGGCATGGAAGATGAAGACGGGATACACAGAGACCCAGTGGCCAAACATAACATTGGGACCTGAAGGTATCTGCCGACGCTAGAAAGTTACAGCCAGGAGATCTGTAAAAGCACTGCTTTACCCAGTAGTGGCAAACTTACAAAACAACTGACTACAAGGCCAAGCAGGGTTAGATAAATCACTGGCTACCAGGTCTACACAATCTGATGAAACAGTTCAAACGATGTCTAAGGGCAGGCTTGCAGCCACTGGACAGGATGGTGATAAGTGGCAAGGCCGTGCTAACTGGTAAGGTCCAATTCCTTGACATGCTCCTCATAAAACATGAGAGAGCTGGTATAGTGTGACAACTTTTATGTTTTCCCTTCAAATTATTCTAAGTATCTAAGCATTCAGTGTTGTATGTAAATATTAATGAACATTAAGTATGTAAGAACTAATGACTAGAGATTGTTATGGTTATTAAAATCGCATACATGTTAAATCTGAAATTGCAGAATACCCCATTCCAGGGGCAGCCATTTCAACTAGAAGTAAATTTGGGTGGTTTTCTATTTAATCCTATGACCAATAAAAGCTACGCTTCCATTCACTTCCACTAACATCATTAAGACTTATGCCTTTGGATTTCAACTCAGCAGACTGGTTATGTAAACTCTGAGGCAATAACTCCCTCTTCAGCTCTACAAAGTCATCTTACACAATCATATGAAAAAGAAAGAGTCTCATGGAGCACTACAGCAAATAATTGGAAAAAACTAACTACAAGGTTAAATCCTTGTGTGAGAAAGGACCCGCCCACAAGAAATCTGTCATTCCTCAGGATGGCCACACGGTGTCAGCACCACACTATGAAGTTTGTTCATTTGCTTAAAAACATTATTTGGTGTTTTGGTAACTAGCTTCTTGAGTTCTTTGTATATTTTGGAAATCAGCCCTCTGTCAGATGTGGGGTTGTTGAATAACTTTTCCCATTCTGTGGACTCCCGTTTTGTCTTGTCGACTGTGTCCTTTGCCTTGCAGAAGCTTCTCAGTTTGAGGAGGTCCCATTTATTAATTGTCGATCTCAGTGTCTGTGCTACTGGTGTTATGTTCAGGATGAATCCAACTAACAATCTAAGGGATAGTGGAAAGGCTATCTTTAATGCCCTTCCCTGATAATGAGATTGATGACTACCTTATATGCCATCCTAGAGCCTTCATCTAGTAGCTGATGGAAGCAGACTTAGACACCCACAGCTAAACACTAGCCAAACTCCTGGAATCCAGTTACAGAGAGGGAGGAATGATGAACAAAGGGATCAAGACCAGGCTGGAGAAACACACAGATTCAGCTGACCTGAGCAAGGGGGAGCTCATGCATCCCAGTCTGATAGCCTGGAAACCATCATAGAACTAATCCAGACCCCCGAATGTGAGTGTTAGTTAGGAGAACCGGGCAGTCTATGGGGCCTCTAGTAGTGGATCAGTATTTATCCCTAGTATAGGAATGGACTTTGGGAGCCCATTCCACATAGAGGGATACTCTCTCAGCCTACACACAAGGGGGCGCCTGGGCCCTGCCCCAAATGATGTGACATATTTTGAAGATTCCCCATGGATGGCCTCACCCTCCCTGAGGAGCAGAAAGGGGGTGGGCTGGGGTTTATGGGGGGACAGGGGAGGAAGGGAGGGTGAGAGAATTGGGATTGACATGTAAAACAACCTTGTTTCAAATTTAAATAAAAAAAGGAAAAGTAAAAAAAAGAGGCCATAAAGTTAGGAGGGGAAATGTATTGGAGGGTGGGGGTGGCTGGGAATGGATATAATCAAAATACATTGTCTACATATATGAAACTCTCAAACCCTACACTTCAATATTTCAGGGACAGACTAAAACTGGCAAATCATTTTCAGTTCCAAACCCTCAGCCATTTGCCAGGTGGATGCAATGTGTGCATATTGCGTATGAACACACAACAGGTTATACTGTGCATGTGTGTGTACAGACACAGTAGGACACACATCCTGTCACGCAGAACAGTATTCACTATCTCCTCCAAAGATATTCTAACTCCAGCTGACATGCGACAAAACTTCAGGAAGGAAAATTGGATCAAGGCAGTTTGGAATATTCTGAAAGGTATGAAATGTAAATTTTTAAAAGGCCCAATGAACAACAACTAAAGACCTGAGATTTATGTTGTCAGACTGAATTGTTTTTACACTTAAAACAATAAACTTGTTAAACCCCAAATCAAGTAACTGAATTCTAATCTGCCACATTAGTTACTGCTTTACATTCCAAATCTATGTATTTATTTTACATAATTTAATTTGTGTGTGAGAGGAAAACAGAAGAGCAAGACCCTCAGGCCAGCTGCTTACTGTCCCTTAGGAGCGGCTGTGCTGAGGGATCTGCACCCAGCATCGTATCAGAATGAGGGCACCACAGCAGAGCTCGGGGTTCTAGCCTGATGGCCTGACTCCTGGTTGATCAAATGTATTTAAGAAACAAAAAATACTGTTAAAATTATATTTGAAAATAACTCTTTAATTTATGATTTTAAAAATATCCTCAACCGCTATTTGAGGATACTGTGAAAGATAATCTGAATTAGGTGACTGACAGGCTAGGTCGCACCATTTGCCTGTGGGTGCCTGCACAGAACACCGGCCACCGTGTCCTATCTCGCCCATGCAAAGAGCCAAAGGATCCATGAGGGCTATGGCAGAAGGTGCTTGGAGGAACAGGTGTGGAGAATGAACCACTATTTACTACTGACAGAGTCCAGTGGAGAGGAAATCAATGCCTTCAACTGACTCCCTCTACTGACTCCCACCAGGCTCTGATGGACAACTCCAAACCAACGGCTACACAGACGGCCACGGTTAAACTAAAAGCAAACCCGAATGTCACCTATCTAGGGAAGGGAGCAGTAGGGATGGGGAGGGGCTGATAAGGACGGGAGGGAGACAGGATAAGGCAGGTGGAGCATAAGCAGAATACACCAGACACATGTATGAAATTGCCAAAAGACAAAATTAATTAAAACAAATTGTATCCTCCAGAACCTGCTTAATTAATGTCCTTAGAAAGCCAACAGTCTTTGCCACTGAAGGGCAGGTAGAGTTCTCGGCCAGTGCTACAGGTTGCTGATGTCTGCTATGATTTCGGACAAGAAAAACAAACCGAGGTCTACCTAGACATCCTCACCCTTGGTCTACATAAAGTCTCTCAAGGTAGGAACACTTTTCCTTTGGCAAAAAAATAAAGTGGATCCAACTGCGCTGTGACATGTAACAGCACCCTCAGGCTCTGACCTCAAAATGACTGGACTTGGAACACATTCCTTCTAACTGTACAAATACAAAGGGAACTTCTCAGTACTCTGAATGTAAAAGCTAAGCTCATTTCAAAATTATTATAATTGGTAGAAAGAGAAACAACTTACTGATCTCCTTTTGGAAACATGTGAGAATATGCATAAAAGGCTATATAGGAATACTGGAATACTATGCAACCAAACGTTAACAATAGCTTTGGTGTCCTTAAGTTATTTTAACTTACATTTCCATAATTTACAAAATGTCCACAGTAAGCATGTATTAACTGTATAATGAAAAAGGTTTAAAATCTTTGTTGGGATAATCTTTTTGGACATTGTGAACATGTGGCTCACCCACCTAAGGCACCTTCTGATTGGTTTAATAAGAGCTGATCAGCCAATAGCTAGGCAGGAGAGGATAGGTGGGACTTCCAGGAAGAGATAGGAACTCTGTGAAACAATCTGAGGTGGAAGATTCTCCAGTCAAATGAGGAGGAAGTAAGCCTGATGGTACTGAGGCAAGGGAATGAGCCACATGGCGGAATGAAAATGAACACAAATGGGTTGATTTAAGTTTAAGAGGTAGTTGGAAATAAGCCAAAGCTAAAGCCAAGCTTCATAATTAATAAAAGTCTCCGTGCCATTATTAGAGAGTTAGTAATATAAAGGAAGACCTGATACAAATATCAACACATTCTTCCTAGATTGAAATATAAAAAGAAATATTTTCATACAGGGATCTAGATCTAAATATTCAGAAGACTAGACACCTTATGAATAATATCTATGTTCAGGGTTTTCCACAGGAACATCAAAACTACAAATTTTTTTGAGACCTTGGTCCCTCACTTTTAAACAAATTAAATTTCTTGTCATATCAATGATAGAAAAACTTGCATATGCAATATAAATGCATATCAATACAGAAGCTCCCATAGTGATGAATTGACAATTTGGAGCTCTCATAGTAGGAATAGTTGCATTCTAGAGCATTTACAGATGGTATTTCTTAATCACAGGGACTCATTTTGGCCTTCACCATGACATTTCTCTAAGGAGACTGTCATTATTTTAGGGTTTGCAGGCTGTGTGATCATACTTGGGAGACTGGGCACAAAAGCAATAAGACTGAGAAGGTGCTGGTAAGAGAAAACATTCTGCTAAAATGGAGGAAAACAAGTGAGATAAAGAATACAAGAGTAACTAGGACTCTTTTCAAGGGTTCTTGGAATTTCACCTGAGCATGTAACTCAGCTGGTATTCAGGAAGTACAGACCCATGCAATTAGGACATGCTACTTGCTGTTTCAGACCGGGTCACATTTTTTACCCCAGGGCGGCCTTGAATTTGTAACCCTCTTGCCCTGGCCTCCCAAAGGCTGGGCTTACAGATGTGGGTACCACACAGGGTGCTCCAGGTCAAAATTACATTCTTTTCTTATCAATGCATTCCACAATGAAGCAAGGCCATTAAAGTTAGGCTTTCATTGATCTTACTACTTAAACCACAACAGTGAATATTCACACCTTTACATGTTCTTTTAACTTATCATTCTGAGCTTCCCTTTTCTGGATTTGGAGGTGTAGACGATCATGTACTACTCGCACTGACTGAGAAAACCGGTTTGCTTTCAAAGTGCTTTCCTGTAATAGAAAAGAAAAATGGTGATAATGTTACCATGTCCCTTTATCTTTGTCAGAATCCTGATCCGGACTCACCCTGAGAAGATGGTAGAGCAGGGCACTCTTCTCCATAAGCTACACATCATATAAAACTTCATGTAAACCCCCACAGTATCCAATGCCTTCTAATTGTCTCTTATAAACATTCCCATATCTCCTCCCAAGAAAAACTTTAAGTGTGTGCAAAATGTTCCTCCAAATACCAAAATTATTTTATTTTTCCAAAGAAATGAAAACATAAATTTGTAGTTCTTTGTGCATGTATATATATTTGCATGTGTTCTCAGCTGGGCGCTCACTAACTAAGTTAGTCTGGCTGACCAGCAAACCCCAAAGACCTTCCCATCTCTGCCTTCCCAGGATCAGAATTACCAGGGTTTCTGGAGACTAAACTCAGGTTCTGGTCTTCCGACTGAACTATCACCAAACTAGGAGTATAGAATTTGTGGTGACCTAAGCCAAGTGGTCAAAGAAACATAAAACTAAACTAAAAAAAAAAAAAAAAAAAAAAAAAAAAAAAAACCTTAAAAAGTTAAGACATTCTATACATTTGGTACATAAAAATCCAAACTGTCAAAAAGCCTTAACTGCGCTGATAACTGAGGATATGAGAACAGGGTGGGAGGAAGAGAAAGGGGGTCAATACTAACAACATCAAAGTTAAGGTGAAAACTCAAAATGTGTTTACCTTTTCATTCTGAAACACACATGAGAGTTCTCCAATATAGGCCTCTTTTTCAAGCACCCTCCTTTGAAGATTCTTCAGGAAATACAAAGGAAGAATTAGAAAATTCAGAACGTGGATAACACTGGCTAAAACCAACACAAAGTAGCAGCGACAACAACAAAAATGTCACCAAGAATGGTGTCAAGGGGGAAAACACTTACAGTATTCTCACTTTCATTGCCACTGAGGTCCTTCAACAAGCTGGGTGAGCTCTCTTCCATCTGTGAGGGAGATATACTAAAAACATCAACTTAAAACCACATCTCTCTTTTTTAAACGTGACTATTGTCTGTCGAGTTTGTGAGTTCATTTTCTACTGATATCAACTCTGCAAGAATTATAGCTTGCAAATGGTTTCTATTTTGTAGATTGTCTCTATGCTGTTATCTTCATTCAGCTTTTTAGTTTGCTGTGATCATATTTAAATATTTTGCTTTTACTGTTTCCTTTGCTTTGTGCATCTTTAAAGAAAACTCCTCACCCATTCCATGTCCTAACCCCTCTATATGCACATAACCTTTGCCCTCCCTCCCGCACTGAGGGTTGAAACCAGGGCATGGAATGTGACAGTTAAGCAGTCTGCCACTGACCTCCCTCCCTAGCCCTTAAATTATTAACTAATTCTGGGAACTACTAGTAAGGAATCTTAACTCATCTCTATGGATAATTACAGAGCCAGAAATGCATACACTTCTGAAATGGTGTGTGCAATCCTTCACTGTGTATGTATGTATGCTCTGGATGTAAAGGATAAAACAGCACAGGCATCTCTTAAAAGGACAACATAGGCAGCTACCATTCACAGTGCAGATTCTATTCAGTAAAATTTCTGCCTGAGCACCCAAAACTATTTAGCACAGAACTTCCAATCAGTTACTTTGCCAAATTAACCTCAAAAGAATGTCTTGGAAAGTATAGGATGATATACAAATCTCTCTCTTCTCTCTCTCTCTCTCTCTCTCTCTCTCTCTCTCTTTCTCTCTCTCTCTCTCTCTCTCTCTCACACACACACACAAACACACATTCTCTCTCTTTCACACACACACATAATGGGAGATGTCATTCTGTAAATATGTTTCTCATACTGGTTAATGAATAAAGCACTGTTGGCCAATAGGAAAGCAAGATAGGTGGGACTAGGAGACAAGGAGGAAAGAGGAAGTAGTAGGGAGGAGTCAGCATGTAAAGAAGGAGAAACAGAGGTCAGGGCCCACTCCTCAGTAAGATGGGACCACGTGGAAATACTTAGATGAATAGAAATGGGTTAGTAATTAAGACAGAGTTAGCCGATAAGAAACTAGTACCTGGTCAACAGCATTATATCAAATACAGCATGTCTGTGTGTTATTTGGGGCTGGCATGGCTGTAAGACCAGACCGGCTACAGGGAAAACCTACTCGTAACACACACACACACACACTCTCTCTCTCACACACATACACACTCTCTCTATCTCACACACACTTATTTTCTAATGAATCTCAGAATACTGTTTAGAAAGAGGCACTATAACTCTAAATTCTAGCACTAGGAAGAGGAAACAGAATATGGTAATAGGGGATGAATGGTCAAAATGCATTATATACATGTTTGAAATGTCATATTGAAACCCATTATTTAATACAATTAATAACTGCTAATAGAACAAAGAATAAAATATAAAATAATTTGAAGAAAATACTAAATTCTTTTAAATCAATACATCTAAATGGACATTTCTTAAAAAAGACATGGATGGTTAATAGGTACAAGAAAGTGCTCAGCATCACATCATCAGACAAAAGCAAATTAAAACTGGACTGAGTATGAAAAGGTTAGGAAAAGGTGAGAAATAAAGGGCTGGCAGGAATATAGAGAATAGGAACTCAAACATGCTGTTTGGTGAGGATATAAATTGGCCCAGACAACTTAGCTGTCTACCAATTGGTGGATAGATAACACATATAGGTAGGTGTAAATACACGGTGCAATACTGCTAAGCCAATAACAAAAATAATCCTGTCACTTGCTTTATTATGGATACAAGTGAAAATCCTGTTAAGTAAAAGAGAACAACACAAAAGGACAATACTGCATCACTCATGTGGAATATAAAAGCTGATTGTATAGAAACTGAAAGTAAAAAGGTAGTTACCATATGTCAGAGTGCATGCCCGGGAACAGGCGATGAAAATGGTTAATCAATGAGAGCTAAGTTGTAGAAAAGAGGCAGAAGTGCTAGTGTGCTGTTTCACAGTAGGGTGAAGCAAAAAGACCACACAGCATGGGGGACCACCATCACGGGAGCACACAGCATGGGGGATCACCATCACGGGAGCATACAGCATGGAGGATCACCATCATGGGAGCATACAGCATGGAGGATCACCATCACGGGAGCACACAGCATGGAGGATCACCATCATGGGAGCATACAGCATGGAGGATCGCCATCACGGGAGCACACAGCATGGAGGATCACCATCACGGGAGCACACAGCATGGGGATCACCATCATGGGAGCACACAGCATGGAGGATCACTATCACGGGAGCACACAGCATGGAGGATCACCATCACGGGAGCACACAGCATGGGAATCACCATCACGGGAGCACACACCATGGAGGATCACCATCACGGGAGCACACAGCATGGAGGATCACCATCACGGGAGCACACAGCATGGAGGATCACTATCATGGGAGCACACAGCATGGAGGATCGCCATCACGGGAGCACACAGCATGGAGGATCGCCATCACGGGAGCACACAGAATGGGGGATCACCATCACAGGAGCACACAGCATGGAGGATCACCATCACGGGAGCACACAGCACAGGTGCCTTACTTGTTTGTGGTGTGTCTGTTTAAGAAGTTGTTCTAAGGCTAATTTCACACGATTAAAAGTGTCTAATTCTTTTGATAATATTTCGTGCTGTTCAAAAATCTTCTTCAAAGTCGATGCAGAAAGATTAGCCTGACAAAATAAAAGAATATAACATAAATACATGTGAAAACAGCACTAAGTAAAACATGCTAGAATGGTATCATCCAATAGGAATTGTTCCCCAGTATCAATGAAAGTCATTATTTTGCATATAGTACTGGTGAATCCTGGCAAATTTATCCATAGCAGACATGATACACTACACGGTATGTTAAAATAAAACATGTTGTAGAATGCCATGGTGTTGCAGTATTCTATTTTACTAAACCACACAGCACAATCTGTTCTTGACTGAAAGTGAAGTTTAGTTGAAACTGTGCAGTCGTCTTCTGCTCCAGGTGACACCACAGAAATGAGGTAAAAGGCCACCTCTCAGAGCTTACGTTTAAAGATCTACTTATTTTCATTCCATGTGAATGAGCGTTTTGCCTGCATGTCTGTCTGTGACCATGTATGCCTGGTGCCCATGGAGACCAGAAGAGGACATCAGCTCTGCTGCAACTGGCATTAGGAATGGGCCCTCTGGAAGAGCAGCCAGTGCTGCTAACCACTGTGCCAACTCTCCAGCCCCACTCTTCAGAAAAACCTCATTCTGTAGTTCAAGGCCAGGTAAGTCACACCTCAACCTGCAGTCTCCAGCTTGGTGTCTTACTAGGTTCATGTCAGAGAGTGCACCTAGTAGACTTAATGATAGGAATAAAGAATGCTCCCCCCCACCCCCCATTAAGATTTAAGTCGTTAGTCAGGTCATGCTGAATATTATGCTCACTTTCCATCTCATTAGCCATTCTAAGTCCAACACTCACATTTTCGAAACTAATTCCTTCCACGGTGTTCTTAAATAGTGGCAAAAGTAATTCTATTGAACAGGAGGCCAACTCAGCTTCCTTAAGCGTTGCCTCCAACTCCATCTTTTCATTTAAAATGTCTTGCTTGAGGCTAATAAGAGACAAACAAACTTTCAGTTACATCTAACACACACTGGAGATTTTAATGGAAGACAAGAGCAGACAAGCCTGCCTCCAGATTGACATGGGTTTGACTTACAGATACCCCTAGGGGAAAGCCTTATCACCAGGCCTAGAGGCATCCAGGACAAAAGTAGGCTGAACAGAGGCAAAATGAGGTGGCCTGGAATACAGGGAATAGAATAATTAATCTTTACATTCTGCTTTATGGAATCATAACTTCTGTGTATTTAAAATGTATCTATAGGCTGGGGAGATGGCTCAGCAGTTAAGGGTGTTGGTGCTCTTGCAGAGGACCCAGGTTCTATTCTCAACACCCACAGGGTGGGTGACTCACAACCGTCTGTAACTCACTCTGTTGGCCTCCATGGGCACCAAGTATGAATGTGGTACATGGAGGCAAAATTCTCACATATATATAACAAGTTTATCTTTAAACTTTTAATAAATAAAATATATGTGTAACTGAACTTTAAAGAAACCTTTTAATATCTACAAACAAGCAGCACATTCTGTGAGAGCATGGCATCTTTCATTACTCAGCACTGTTTCTTTCTTTTAGAGTGAGTATCTCCTAAAACTCATTCAGAACTGATGGGCTAACAAAGATGCTCAGCAGGAAAATGGACTAGCCCTGAAGCCTGGAGACCTCGTCAGACCCTGGAACTCATAATGAGGGGACAGAACACACACACACACACACACACACACACACACACACACACACACACAAACTGAATTATTGGCATCTTGCACATATTTATATATTTCAAGCAGGAGGCAGAAGATTTTGTTCTTAGGTGCCATTGGCTTATAGTAAAAAGCTTATGATAAATAACTGCCCTTCATTCAAAACCATGATTAGAAAATCAATTACATTTGATGAAACACTATTTTCCACTTTCTGCCAGCTAGACTAGAAGCTACCTGTAATGACAATAATGACAGTTTAAGATTACTATTACTATATTAACTCACACAAATAACAAGTAAATTTCCAATTCAAACAAAGCAAAATATGATAATTATTTGTTACCAACAATATAATAAGCAACAATATTCACTTTACTGTGGTGATATCTTGCTTCTACAAATAAAGCCTGTCTTGGGGTCAGAGAATAGACCTTGCCACTAGCTAATCATGGAGGTCTGGAGGTCTGTACAGGTGGTTGGGAAGAAACAGGACGTAAGCAGGGAGAAACAGGAATCTCTCTCTTGTCTGCTGAGACGCTAAGGAGGTAAGCTGTGCTATGGCTTGCTCCTTCTCTCTGATCTCTCAGAGTTTCCCTCTATATCTGACTCTGGCTTGTTATTATCTGGACCAATTAGGAACTCCATTTATACTTGACAAATTACCAATAAGTTATGCTGGCTTTTCTATTGCTTTCATTAAGAATAAAAAGTTAAACCACACACCTGTAATCCCAGAGTAAGAAAGGCTGAGACAAGGAGCCCAAGAGTTCAGAAACAGCCTGGCCTGCATAGGGAGACCTTGTCTCAAAAGGTAAAGCAAACAAAGACATAATAAAAAGACTGACAACTGCTCTACCCTGCTAAATAAGCATTTTTATAATCAGATTATGTAGGTATAACAAATGAATACTAAACAAGAGAAGGGCATTCTTGAATGGCTGCACTTGATTTGGAAGTTAGAAAATGAGGTTGGCTCTGCCAATGACAAGGGTACCTGCTGAGGTGATTCTCAGTGGCACACTGTGGGACCGGTCCTCTCTCTTGTGTGACGAATGGAAAGAGTCCCTCCAGATGACTTCCATCACTAGTATGTGTCTCCATCAACTCTTTTAATGGGATGCTTCAGCAACAACTTTCCCACAGGTACTGAAAGCTAGGGAACATGTGTTATTAAACTTACCATTTCAGTAGGTTTTCTTTTTACTTTCGTTACCCTGTGATTTAAACACCCCAATCATGTATAAAACATTTCAAAGACAATATCAAAATTATAACTGCCCTCAGGGCATAGTTTGTGCATCTTTAATCTTAGCACTTGAGAGGTAGAAGCAGGCAGATCTCTGTGAGTTTGAGACCAGTTGGGGCTACCTGTCTTTAAGAAATTATAAATGCTACTCTACTCCAGTGACTCAAAATAGTATCAAAATTGAATTGCATTCAAGTTTCCATATACATTTTCAAAAGGCTAGCTATTACTATATATTAATAATATATGCTGTTACTATAATATGGGTACAAAAATCTTTTTTCAGATTATTTTTATGCATCTGTGAGTGGGTTATGTGCAGATGAGTCCTAGGGGTTGGGGACATAGAGACTGGAGTCTCCTAGAGCTGGAGTTAGACAGGGCTTGTAAGCAGCCTTGCATGGGTTTTGGAACTAAACACGGTCCTCTGCAAGGGTAGAAATCTTTATGTTTAGATATCTTTATTGATCTATTTCTTGAAGAATTATAGTAATCCTTCAATAACTGCCCAATAGGAGTAGAAAACAAGTGTGCAAGCTATGGGTTTTGAATTCATCCCATCAAACCTAGGCAATAGGGAGCTGGTGTCCCCACTTAGAAGTGTACAAACTCACACACCTTTAATGTGCTTTGCAACAATAGCTGCAAAACAGGGAAGACTTTTTTTAAAAGCAGTCCATTGTGATGCATTCCTTTATCCCCATTCCCAGCTCATTCTGGACTACTCCTTGCAGATAATAATAATTATAAGTACTTCTGAACTTTAGCAAGAATCTATTCATTTAGACCTGAAGATGTCATTTGAAAAATGTGACATCATACATGAATTTCTCCAAAATTGCCGCATTTAAAGTGATTAATTAACACATGGCAACAATGAGGCTAAGGTTTCATAGTTCTAAATAGGAATGTCCATGTCTCTCTTTTGCTGTTATTGTTCATACAAGATCAAAGATCACATTTAATTGATTTCAAATTGATTTCAAATATTTCCGATTTAGCCTGGGATTTCCATATTAAAATACATTATACTCAATAAATTTTCAATAGTTTAGGTATCTGTTGAAACGTTGGTTGAAACTATTCACAATACTTAGCTAGCAATTCTGAAACCTCCCAGAACACCTACAAAAAGTGCATTAAATTTTGTCTGATGTTTCTGTATACAATGCAGAGACAAACATTTAGTAGCTAAAATTCAAAAGGAACAGTAGCCCAGAAAGCCCTCACCACTCTCCCTAGATCTCTGGCTGCTGACCTGTGCAACACCTGTTACTACAACATCATACAGCAGAGAGTACATGGGGATGTGTACAGTCCGAAGAAGCACAAATTACACAGATTACATCAAAAGCTAAAATAGACTATGGAGGAATATGCTCCAGGAAGTTACAGCAAATGCATCTGTGGGTCAGTTTGGTTGGTAACTTCCATGGCCCTTCAAAGGGGAATTAGCATTTACTTTTTTACTCAATCACGTGTTTAAATATTTATCTCTCCACAGGCTGAAATCTCAAGAATGAACGTCTTTTAAAGTTAAATCCTAAAAACCTATAAGCCTTAGAGAACTAAGCAATGCCTGCATAGTATGCAAGCCTTACTATTCAATGAATACGATAGACTACTGATTTTCCCTTACCTGTCCCTTGACAAACTTTTCTGAGGGATTAAAAGAAAAATGGTTCCTACATTTAGAAATAAAACTGAAAACCACCAAGAAAGGATAGAGACCTCCCATTCTTAGGAAATGCTTGATAAAAAGAGAATCATTTTGGCATCAGTATTTTAAGTGTGGATTCTCATGTAGCTTTCTGACCTATTGGCAGGTGAGCACAAGACAAATTATACAGAAAAAAAAAATGTTGTGTTTTATCACCTACAGTTGTTAACCACATCTTAAATGGTAAATAAGTAATGTGTGGTAAATGGGGATCTGTGGTGGTTAATTTTAATTATCATTCAGATGCAATCTAGACTGTCTAGGAAGGTAGTTGCAATGAGAAACAGTCTTGACCAGGCTGGTTGGTGGTCATTCCTGTCTGGGATTTTCTTAGTTGGGTTGTCGTGGGAAGAATTATCCTGAATGTAGGTGGCACTGAGTTTGGACCTAGACAGAATAAAATAGAGAGAGCAAAGGGAAACGTGCATGCATGCATTCATGCATGCATTCAGTTTTCCTCTGTCTGGCTGCGGATGTGATCAGCTGCTTCAAGATCCTGCTGCCTTGAATGCAGTGTGAGCTTTAATCTTCAAGTGTAAACCAAATAAACCTTTCTCTCTCACAACTGCTCTGTCAAGGTGCTTTATCACCACAAGAGGAAATGGACGTAGGATGGGATCTAAGAATGACCTCTGCAATACCAATCACTACAGAACCCTCAAAACACAATGCAGGGAACTAGGTGCTCATCAGATATGCCCAAAGAAAGTATATGAAATAACATTCACCAAGACAATGATTGTCCACAAGTTCAAAGACACTTCACGGTTTTTGTGACAATTCTGCAGTTAGCCATGCCAGTGGAGCAGCAAGTTGCAATTGAAGTTCCAGGTGCAGTGCACCAGAAGGGAATCCTCTGACTGGCCAATCTCCTTTAGGGAAGGCCACGGGACTGCAAGGCCACGGGACTGCAAGGCCAAGGGACTGCAGACCCTGGAAAGTCTTTTGCTTCTGCAGTGCCTTTTCATGTTTGCTGCAGCTCTCCTTCCCTGGTATCGAGCATGGTGTGAGTAGACGTGGGGAGACCTCCACTGCCTGTAATACTATCTGCTTATCTCTTGGAAACATCCATTTGCCTGGGCATTTTTACCTGTGGATTGTCAAGAAGATGACCTCTCCCTAAGCTGTACTGTCTAAATTGAGAATAATAATGATAGCTTAAAAGAGTTTTGGGGAATAAAAATAAGTACCAGGGTATGTTTTACAACCCAAATCTGTGAGTTTCACCTAAGGAGCTGCATGGATTGTAGTTCAAGTTAGGGATTAACAATTGAGTCCCAGGAGCCCAGCTAGTTTAGAGTTCTGTAACCCTAATGTTGGGAGATGTGTTCACAGGACTTGGAGAGCATCACCACAGCTGAAACAAAACTTTGAAATTAACAAAGTTACACTAAGATGTTTTTGTTAAATAACTTTGAGGTAAAAAACCCAAAAGACAATCTAAAGTTTTACAAAGTCACATAGTTTAATTCAGAACTATTTAAGGTCAGGGAACAAGAAAACAGCAGCCCAATTATTACTAGTTGACATACTCTCCTTGCTAGGTTTGGTTCATGACCAAAGGTGACGATTAATTCCTTACACCCATTGCTGCCCTCAATCCTCTGATATACTGATTCTTTTTAATGTATAGAAGTTTAGGTTTGTGATTTCCTTAAGATTCCATGTACGATTACCTTTCAAAATAAGCAATAAAGAAATTGGTCCTTTCTTTGTAACTACAAAAAGCAGTCTGCCAGTTCAACACCTGACAAGAATGCCTTGCTTGCCCACATGTTTAATCTATAACAAGTTGCTTGAATATGAATGTATGTGGGTTCTCGGGATAATTTGGTTTTCATCTGTAATACATAAAATGTTTAATCATGTGAAGGAGATGAAAAACATGTTTTTACCTATTATCATTCACTTGAGAAGCAGAATTCAACTGTTTTGACTGTTGTACTGCCTAGAAAATTCTGTTGAGGTATAAAAGCTGTGGGAAAAACAAAACAAAAAACAAACAAACAAAAACCATGAGATCATAGAGAGAGAATAAAGAAACAAGAGAATAAAGAAGGAAATTATCAAGAGAGTTTGTGGTTTTTTCCCTAACCCCTCTCAGACAGAAAAGTCTAGCCTTGCCAACCCCATGAATTTCTATCAAAGCCCTGTGCTCCCCCCCAAGACAGCAATGCAATCCACAACCAAAATTAGATGAGCAAAATTACTACTTTTCTTTAATATAAAAATATTTGCCTGCTAAACAAAAGGTAACACTTTCCTTTAATATAAAATATATCCTATCTTAATAAAATATACTCTCATTTCAGTTGGGCAAAGGTATTTCTGAGGAAACCAGGTGGTGTACAAGAGTTTTCAGTTATGTGCAAGGCATTAACAACTGACAAACACTGTACTTTGTACAACTTGTTAGTGGTGAAACCAAGACCCAGTCTTGACAAGTTTAAGCAACTCCTTCAAGTTCAGTGGTTTTAAACTCTTTAATCTGTCAAGTGAAGGGTATTCATGGAGTTGTTGATGTGGCTGTAACCACAGAACTATGTTCTACTTTTATCAACAAGTGTGCCGAGGGTTGGGTGCTCATCGACAATGACTTTACAAAAGAAAGGCCATGCGCCTAGACTAGTCAGGAAATGTGTTTTAGAAACCAATCTCCCTGGATAGAAAGCACAAAATTCCACAGGCTTTTATTTGTTTTGCTAAACACAAATCCCTGAAAAACAAAATTTGTTTACTTCAAACAATAGCATCCCGATTCTATTAAAAATAAAATTTTAAATATTCCATGAAATACTCAGCAAGAAACACAAAGAAGTAGGAATGATGTCTTCTGTCTCTCAGCATTCTGGAAACTAGTCAAAACAAAAAGTAATTATAGATCATTTTAAACTCCATTGTGGAAAAATTACATATGTGAAACAGAAACAGGTAAGTAAAAATGAGCAAAGTACGAAAATAGATTTCTAAGTTAAAACTATGAAAATAATGGGGGTGGAAGTAAGGGAGGGAATGGGATGACATTTATGATTCAGAAAAGATAACTTGAGTAAGAATCTGTGGCTTCTGGTTAACTGGGGCTTAAGAGTTAACTGTGATTAACAAGAGACCATAACTGCTGGAATAAAACCTGTACTTTATGGGGACAAT